AAAAAAAAAAAAAAAAAAAAAAAAAAAAAAAAAAAGAAAGTCATGGGCTAGTTCAGGGTAGGAAGCCCTGTCCAGGACCCACACACGGCCCTGGCATCCTGCAGTCAAAGACTCTTCTGTCTCGTTACACGGTACTCACCAGGTTTTCTTTTATAGGGAAACACTACTTCAAGGAAAGGGTGTCTATCTGTAGAAGTGGCTCTTTGGCACTTCGCCACATCACCATCATTTTGAATCATGTCTAAAATTTCTTGCGTCCAGGTCATGCCTGAAAACATTAGAAATAGTTCTTTAATTTCAGTCAACTCGTTTCCTAAGTAATTGAATATTTTGAAGGCAGCAACATGAGAGCACAAATTAGGTTAATGTTTCAGAGGCAGAAAGGAAAACCTCAGTTATATTATGCCCTTTTTTAGGTATGAGGTCATCAAAAAATTTCCTGTGGCAAAACTTGGACCATTTCTTCCCACTTTTATTATGAAAAATTTTAAACATACAGAAAACTGGAAAACATAAAGAGCACACAAAAATTTAATTTCATAAAAAACATTTTGCCGTATTGGCTTTATTCTATCTATCTATCATTCTCTCATCTTTCTCATTTATCCATCTTTGAACCATTTCAGATTAAGTTTCTGACATCATGACACTTCATGCCTAAATACTCCAGCATGTGTGTCCCAAAATGACACTCTTTTACCATGTTTCCTAAATGTTTCTCAACACACCTAATTTCTAATGATTTCTTAATATCATAAAATACTCAGTGTCTATTAAATTTTCTTCAATTGCCTCATAATGTCATTTATAGCATCTTTTCCTATTAAAGTTCATGGACTGCGTTAGTTTTGATGTCCTTTGGTCTTTTAGTCTAGAATCATCCTTCCATATTTTTTCTCCATGGCATTGATTTTTGAAGGGATCAGCTGCTGTCCTGCAGCACACCCCACATTCCAGATTTGTCTGATTGTTTTCTCGTAGTATGTTTAACTTGTTCCTCTATCTTTTGTTGTCTTGATTATTAGGTCTGTGAGACAAAGGGATTAAAGGACTCCAAGTCAAATGTTTACCACATCAGGGAGTTTATTTCCCGTGAACCTGGAGGGGAGACTGAAAGATGAGTTCCCACCCCCATACAGACTAATAGCGGTTTTGTAGGGTTTAAATTGGGGGAAAAGGTTTGGTAGCTATTCTGAGCATTTGGCACTTTGCAATAGCTCTTCAGTTTTCCTGTTTTGCACAGAATCTGGTTTTTCTCAGAAAGCACTTTGCTTAAGAGAACGGGAGGGGGCAGGGGGCAGGGTGAGGAAGCAGTTAACATGGCTGTGCTTATGCTAAGCTGATTGTAAAGCCTAATCTTGATTAGTGTCAAGTAAAACCATTTTTTGTAGTTCCTTTTGCATCACACCAAGAGGTACATTGTGTCGATTGCTCCACTATTGGTGACACTACTTTCGATCATTCCGTTAAGCAGGTAGCCACCAGATCTCTCCTTGTGCACATGCGTATCTCAATTTGCATTAGGAATTAAACTGCATAGTGAGTGACATTTTGGCACCATGTGACTATCCAGTTCCCCTCATATTTTATCAGATTATTTTAGGACCCATTGATGATTCTGCCTGAACTCATTTTTATTGTGGGTGGGAAATTATTAATTTTCTAATCTTATAATTTCTTCTCTATTTATTAGGAAGATCTTATGTAAAGAAGAACTTTCTGTCATAAACTGGAGAAATACAATTCCTCTAAACTTTCTTCCTTAATTATTTATTTTTAGAGTAAGAGATGAATAAAAGTTTTCTTCAATAGAGGTAAATAAATTTTTTTCTTTTATCACCATTATAAACTCACAGGTTTTTATTTTTTTATTAAGTTTGCTTCATGGTGGTAAAAATTACATAGACTAGAATGAACCCATCTTAAATGGATCGTTTGATGAATTTTTTTTTTTTTTTTTTTTTTTTTTTTTTTTTTTTTTTTTTTTTTCTTTTCCCGCCA